TATATGGGGTCCGTTGTACCATATACACGGATCACAAGAGTTTGAGACATATCATGGATCAGCCGAACCTGAATATGAGACAACACCTATGGTTAGATGTAGTCAAGGACTACGATTGTGAGATCCTTTACCACCCTGGTAAAGCGAATGTGGTTGCGGATATGTTGAGCCACAAGTCAGCTGGGTCTTCCACCCCAACAAAGTGTATGAGGATAGCGGTGGATTCCCGGCTGGTGAGTTTGATCAGAAATGCCCAGGTCAAGGGATACGACCAGAGAACTGGAAAATGGAAAGGATCAAGGGAGAAAGCGCTCAGTATATTTAGGATAGGCGGGGGTTATTATCCCGATGTGGTCGAGTTTAGGTTCCGATGACTGGTGGAGTCAGGCAGACAATGATGGAGGAGGCTCATAAGTCTCATTTTTCCATACACCTGGGGGCCACCAAGATGTATCGAGATCTGAGTTTGAGTTACCGGTGGCCATGTATGAAGCAAGAAATCGCTTGTTATGTCGAGAGTTGCTTTACCTGTAGAATGGTCAAGGCCGAGCATCAGAGGCTGCATGGTAAGTTGCGGCCTCTGGAGATCCCCATGTGGAAATGGGAACAGATCACGATGGATTTCATCACAAAGCTGCCAAGGACAACGAAAGGGTTCGACGCTATATGGGTCATTGTGGATCGATTGACCAAGAATGCTCATTTCATGGCGATACAGGAGAGCTCTTCGGCCGAAAGGTTGGCCGACATATATGTCAGCGAGATAGTTGCTCGCCACAGGATTCCAGTCTCCATTGTCAGACCAAGATGTTAGATTTACCTCCCGTTTCTGGCAGAAGTTACACGAGGAACTAGGCACACGCTTGCACTTTAGCACAAAGTTTCATCCGCAGACAGACGGTCAGAGCGAGCGGACCATTCAGACCCTCGATGATATGTTGAGGGTGTGTGTCATTGATTTTGGTGGGAGTTGGGATTCCCACCTACCTCTTGTATAGTTTGCTTACAACAACTACCACTCCAGCATTGGCGCCCCACCTTTTAAGTTATTGTACAGGCGTAAATGTCGCACCCCGGTTTGTTGGGGTGAGGGTGGGCATTGAGTGATGGGAGGAACGTAGGTAGTCCTGCAGACTACCGAGAAGATTCAACAGATTAGGCAGCGGCTGCAGACCGCTCAAAGTCGGCAGAAGAGTTACGCCGATAGACACCGATATGAGTTAGAATTTCAGGTGGGAGATATGGTTCTTCTGAAGGTCTTACCATGGAAAGGTGTGATCCGCTTAAGGAAGCAGGGGAAATTAGGTCCCCGATACATTGGACCGTTCAGGGTCATTGCTAGGTTCGGCAAGGTGGCATACATGCTAGAGCTCCTGGAGGAGCTTAGTCGGATCCACAACACTTTCCATGTTTCGCAGCTGCGGAAGTGCATTGTGGATCAGGGGCAGTGGTGCCATTGGATGATATTTAGGTAGATGAGCACTTGAATTATGTGGAGAGGCCTGTGGCCATCCTTAAAAGGAAGACGGAAGTTTTGCGGAATAAGGAGATACCTTTAGTGAAGGTACAATGGGAGCATCTGAATGTATCTGAGTGGACGTGGGAGCTAGAGTCAGAGATACAGGAACATTACCCAACATTGTTCATCGCAGTAGACTTCGAGGGCGAAGTCTAATTCAAGTGGGGGAGAGTTGTAACGCCCAAATTCTCAGGTATTGATTTATGTTGAATCTTTTTGGTCTTTGGGTCTACTCGACGAGTTGGTAGCCCTACTTGTCGAGTTGTAGCGGGTTGGTCCACATGTTTTAATGACCTACTCGCCGAGTCCAAGAAGGGACTCGACGAGTAGGAGCTGGAAGATGAAACCCTAAATCCAGGGGGTTTTGCACCCTATTTAAAGAATCATAAGCCTCCTTTGGCCTCTTTACAGCCCCTTGAGAGTCCAGAAAACCCTAATCCGTGTGGTGTTTCATTCTTGTGTGTTTTAAGCTTCGGAAAATGGATCCTTGGAAAAGAAGAGCCTTGCAGGCAAGAGGCTAGAAGCAAGGAAGGTGTGGGGAATCAGAAATCTACCTCGGTTAGCATCATTTGAAGGTATCAAGTCACCACCTTTACCTCATTTCTTTCTAGACCTCTTTTGGGTGAGATTTAGGGTTATTTTGGCTTGGTTATGATGATATTGTGGTGTATGAGTTATATCTGAAGTTGTAACTGTAGATCTGGACCCTTCTTGGGTTTTAGGTTCATAAAGTTCGAGCTTGGTCACATATGAAGCCTCCCTTGAGTGTAAAGCTCCATTGTATTCTTGGATTTGTCATTTAGAGCCTTTTTAGCCATGCATGCATGTAAAGTTCGCAACTTTACGTTATAAACATGCCTAAGGAAGTTGGATCTGCAATTTGGGGCCTTGGTATTGCTTAAAAAGTGTCTGCATGGTTAAAGGACTGAAGGGACTCAACGAGTCGCATAGTTGACTCAGCGAGTCATTTGAAGATGGGCATTGAACTCGACGGGTTGAATGAACAACTCGGAGAGTCCAATGAAGATTTCCGTAGACTCGACGAGTTGGATGAAGAACTCGGCGAGTTGGTTAAAGGTTTCCCCAATTGATGGATGCGTGTGAACTTGTCGAGTTGCAAGAAGGAAAAACCCAACGAGTGACCTTAGAGCTTCAATTGCAAACCTTAGGAACTCGACGATTCACTCTGGTGACTCGACGAGTGGACGAGTATCTCAAGGAACTCGACGAGTAGTCGAGGATACTCGGCGAGCCAAAGTCAACACGGACTGTTGACCTTGATTGTTGACTTTAACTTTTACCATTGGTTGATTGGTTGACTTATGGGGTACCTTGAAAGGTTGGGAACTTACAAGTATGGTTGTATCATGATAATAGGTGGTGGAGTTTGTGGCAGTGATCCGAGAGGTTGAGTTCATCTACCGAGTCGACATTTGCAAGGTGAGTTATCATTACTATACTAAGGGGTCTAAGGTACCAAGGCCGGCCCATTGGATATGTTATCTTAGTAGTGTTAGATGTTGAGTATGAGTTAGCGTTGTGTGCTAGCGGTTATGCCAGTTAGGTCGTCCTGTAGGACTACCTGTGTTATCATATGTTATCCGCATGCTTAGTAGTTATGTCATTATATGTCGCTATTTTATGTGGGGTGGGTTGAGATGACACTACTTCGTGCGGTAATCCAAAAAACCCGAGAGTATTCCAGTTATGGGCTAAGGGAGACTCGTACTATGGGCTCAATGGCAAGCCATATGTAAGCTCTGGGTCGGAAGCAATTCAAACTCACATTGTGGGCCCAGGGGGTAATCTAGTTTGTAAGGCTGTGGACCCATTACATGTTGTTCTGTTTGGGTGTTATGATGTTGCTGACATGGTTACGTGGATTATATATGTATTGGTAATTTGGGGGAACTCACTAAGCTTTCGGGCTTATAGTTTCAGTTTTTTGTTTCAGGTACATCAGGGGATGGATCGTGGCAAGGTAAAGGCGTGATCGAACCGCTCCATGTTTTGATGATTTTGTTCCTGGGATACTATGATATAAATATTTTGGAAACATGTTTTGTAATAACTATTGAATTTGGAAAGCATTTTAAAAGTTAAAAATTAGCTTGATTTTTATGGGTTTTATACGTTTCATGAATTGAAATCAAGTTTTGATAAAAGTTTCCATAAACGAAAATACATTATTAAAATGAGTAAATAAGTTTGTATAAACAAAGTTCTTTGTCATCATGAGAAGTAAATTATGTTGCCCAAATGAGATGCAACGTTCATATTCTCATGGGAAATAAAGTTCGTTACTCAAATGAGTAACCAAGTTTCATTGCTAAAATGAGAAATCAAGTTCGTTTCTACAAGGAGCAAACAATTTCATTGCTAAAACATCTATATCACTACTAGAAAAACAACCGTTTACGACGCTCATTGTGCATCGTAAAAGGCTCAGACGACGCGCAAATGCGCGTCAAGGAAGGCCCTGTCATAATGAGAGACGACGCGCATTTACGACGCTCATTTAAGATGCGCAATTACGACGCACGTTTACGACAGGCAATGCGTATCAAGAAAGGCCCTGTCATAAAGGAAGACGACACGCATTCGCGTGTCGTAACCTTACGATGCGCGTGTTAATGACACGCAATGCGTATCAAGAAAGCCCCTGTCAAGAAAGGCCATGTCATAAATGAAGATGACACACATTTTTGCGTATCATAATTTTAACTGTTTAAAAAAAATATTATTTTTAGATTTACTAATTTTCAAATTAAATTTGTATTTAATGTCACATAATATAAAATAAAATGTCATATACAAAAAATACAATCCATTGCATAAAACTTAATGTCATACAAAATAATCGTTCCATGGAAAGATAAAACAGATCAATAGTTGTAACAACAATTTACAAACTAATTAGATAAAAGAAATATAAAAAAATATACCCTCAAATGCTTTTTAAAGTCTAATCTCCATGTCAGCTCTTCAACTCACTTCTCCATTTTGTCCTTAGGTTCTCTAAGGGCTCCAGCATCTCTTGCAATTTCAAAGGCACAAAGTAGAACATAATGTGATATTATTTTGCCACCTAGATGTTCTTCAGTTATGTGATGAGAATCATACCCCTTCAAAGGCACAACAAGTAGCCAATAACACTTGCTATGTCAAGCATAAGCACAGATAGAAATATGCCACTTTGAGTAAACTCAGTGTAAGTAAAGACTAGAGAGAAGATAACAACACATACCAAGTGATGGAGGCTTTGTTGCAAAGTGAACGACCAAGTCATCTACAAGAAACATGAATAAAACTTCCAAAATCTTATGTGTACCCATATCCTTCTTCTTTTAAAGTTTCTAGAATGTTTAGAATGCTCTCCTTACCTTGTTATTTCAAGTGTCAGGGGAAGAAAAGTCACAAAGTAGTAGAAAGTAACTATATTTATTGAAGAGTATCATGTAAACTTGTATGAAGTACCTCTTTAATGGAATGGTGAAGAACTGAATTCCTTCTTCGCCAAAAGCTCATGTTCTTCTTTCTGATGATCTTTTAAACGAGAGCTTCTTATCCCTAGTAACAAGGACCTAGGCACCCTGCCATTAAAATACATTTAAACAATATTACCAATTTACCCCTCCTGATATATTTGGAATAACTCTTTCTAGCTTCATATGTCAAAAGACTTAGAAATATTTCTAGCTCACCTTGGAATAAATGACATGGTCAATAGGTAAAGCAATTGTTGATGAAAAAGCATAGGAAGAAAATTCATGGCAGCTCTGTGCACTGCAGCCTCTTTAGCTACTGAAAGCCACTTTGGGGGCTCCAAAATTAGCAGCTTCCCCACAATTGAAACCTTTAAAGACAATGGTTTGATATTAGAGTCTATAAAAGTATAAATATATCCAACCACAATATATATATATATATATATATATATATATATATATATATATATATATATATATATATATATATATATATATATATATGCAAAACATCACCATGGTAGAATCCTATGTGGTAAGCCCTTGGAAATGTCATTACAAATTCACCAGGGTTCTGTACTAACCTACAATCATGAAACAGAAGAAATTTTCAGTAGAATGTCCCAAATCTCAACAACATGTCCCAAATCCAACCACAATAATGTGAAGTGAAATTCATATAAGCATGGATTTTGAACAAAGAAATAACACACCTGCAACATGGAATGCCAGATGTAACAACAGGATCGGGTGATAGAAGGGTAGTCTTTTCGCCCATGCGTGTTAGAGAAGCTGTTAAACAAAAATGGCAGGAGCTTTATGTATTGCTAAAGAAGTAATTTGAAGCCCTAGACATTCCATGTTGACAAATAATCATTATATAAGTTCGTTTTTTGTCTTAGAAGTGGTTTAAGAAGGTGAGAGAGGCATACATTATAGCAGATCTTTTTATATGCATTGCAATGATATAATCAAGAGTAAGCATTTTACATACCTAACCAATAAACACCTCCACTATAAGCCTTTGAACGGATTACTTCCTCAAATGTGAATGCCAAAATATGATATCTTAGGGTTCATGTCCGATGTTGAATCATCGAAAACATGCTCACGGTAGAAACGTTTGGATATAAGTTTTGTTATTGTTGGATGATTTGGATACCTTCTCAACATTCTACACATAGGAAAAACAAAAAAAAATGGATTTAGTATGAAGTAGAAATATTCTATATATTATCAAACATATTTGTTTAGGATAATGATTAAGTAACTCACATATTTGCCAACTCTTTTTGCATTCGGCTTCCATCCATGCAAAGAATTTGTTCAATGCATGAATTAACCGACTTCCTAAATCTCCATGTTTCAGTAATAGCAGCAGCTCCTAAAAAATCATTAATAAATTCATAGTATGAAAATAGTAACGCAAGATAAATAAAAAGATTCCATTTTAATCAAAATAGCTAACAAAAACTTTCTCAATTTGATGGAATTTCAACAATCTTGTTTAGTAGCTATATAAACTACTTTGTATGCTTAGGGGGGGGGGTGTTACTTACCTCCTGCAAGGTTGATGTGAAAGAGCCTATGACGATTTCCAGTAGCTGTGAGGAAAAACAAGTCACACCATTATAAGCTTTAGTGTATATAAGCATATTATAATATTCGTGAGTTCAACATAACCTATGCACCATAAGTGTTGTACAAACATATCTTTCAAAGCACAAGTACATAATAAAATCCAATACAAGCAAAGGTATTTTGAATACTTTGTTTCATTAAACTTGGTAAATGTATCATATTATATTTGAAACAAGGCATCACATAGTCAATCTCTTAAAACGTGATATTAACATACAATCGCTAAAACCAAAATTTTCAAAATACAATGCAAAGAATTGTGAGTAGTCATTTATACATTTTGAGTCAACTTTCCTCGGTAATCTACCTTAGTTTCAGTTCCCCTCTTCGGGTTGTCATTTCATCAAGTATTTCAGCTGAATCGATTTAAAAATCATTTTCCATCATTTCCGCATTAGATCCTTCCTTCTGTTGATATATATATTTGGATATAAATATACTTATAATATTGTATTTAGGAAAAAAAACAATTAATTGGCATACCCGCAAAAGACTCATCCTTTGAACAGGCCTTCCAATGAATTCTTCATATTTAGATGCATCGAGTTCTTGAAGATGCTCAGGTGGAAACAATTTGGGAAGAAAATACTAAAGTAATAAACCATACAAAATTAGTATAAATTTATAAAAATGAAATTAGCACAACTTTATAGTAAAAAAAAATCAATTTATATATACCATGATTCGAAGCAAGAAGACATCATAATGCTAAGCAGATGGATTTTGAAGATTGAATTCCTTTTGTTGAGCTATTTGTGCAGCTACACTATGATGAAAAAAGTACAATGCTGCTATCATCATAGCTGGAACTATAGTAGTAAAAACATGAACAACTGGAACCTTCACCGAAAGACTCCTTGCATTAAGCCATTTTTTTATTAGCATCTCATTCAAAATATGGAAAACATGTCTCCTGAGGTAAATAATGTTATTGGAATTCTTGTATTAATAATGATAATTTGTATGATTAAATGTTTATATTTGGGTATTATTATTTTGAAGACTGTGGAAACTTGAAAGAGAATCTAAGGCTGGAGGAAAGATAGGTAGTTTGTATGCTTAAGGAATTGAAGGTGGTGAAACAAAGTCAGAAGTTCTTCAGAATCTTGCAGAGTTCCAGTTTTCATGCGCAACTTCCCTCTTACTCTTACATTTATTTGTTTTTTATACAATGCTGTAACAGAAAGAAATGAAAGTAATTTTCTAAAACACCCCTAAATTTTTTTTATAAGGTCACAATGTAAATTAAACAGTGTTGTGGCCTATGTATTGTGGGCTAGTTATGATATGTTTTTGTAATTAATGGGCAAAGGGCAAAATGGTAATTTGAAATTTTGGGAATGTTATCAGGTGATGTTTAATGCGGTTTTGGAGAATGCATGCAGTGAACAAGGAGCTCGTATGTCTACTATAGATAGTTCCAGCAGAAAGTAGGGTGTTCAATGTGGCTGCTCCGATTGCCCCAGTTTCCTTGAAGGACTACGACCCCAAGAAAGCCAGATATTTTGGCCTCCTAATTTAATCGATAAAGTTTGCTCTGCACAGCCTATGAAACGTACCAAACAAGGGTAAATATGGAAACAAAAATAAACTTCCAAAGGGCTTTATGTTTATACCTGTTGGCAAACTAAACAAATCCACATCGCTTGCCTACGGGAATCTTAACATGAACTAGTTCACCAAATTGACCAAAAACTCACCGTAAGGTTTCATCAGAAACACTTGGATCCAAACCACCAACAAATATCTGCACTCATCATTGTCAATTGTTAAACATTTAGAGCTTCAAATTAAGCACATAATTTAGATGAAGAACATCTTCTACATCCCGTTAACACTTGTGTTAACCAAACAGAATAAATTCAAATTAAGCACATAATTTAGATGAAAAACAATAAACAAACTAGAAAAACTTAATAGATACAAAATTACTGATAATAAATAAAGATATAGGCGTGCACATTGCAAAGTTCTAAGATTTACATTCCGTTAAATAGATTCTCTAGGAGATACCCCAAAATCAAATGTTTGACATTCCTGAATTGCTGAATGGTGATTGCACTTTTCAAGCGGACAAGAGAGATGAGAGAAACATAGAGAAGAAATAAACGGAGGAACCGAGGGACATACCTGATTGTAGCGGCCAACAATGGTGACTGGTGAGAGGTGGAGCAGGGTGATTGATTGGGTCTAACCACAGTAACATTTGGCCCTAGCACATGGTGCTCCTTATCCCACCACCAGCACCACCCAAAATCAACAGAATCCTCAAATTAGATTCAAACCCTAACAAAGTCTGAATTAATGAAGATAAAGTATAAATTAAATACAGATGGAAACAAAAACATAAAAAAATAGAGGGAAACAAAGTTTGGATCATGTTCCTGATAAAAACATAAAAGAGTGGGCAAACCCAGAACACCGTTTGAGAGTGAGAGTGCTTAACCTTTCAAGCCGTTAAAGATAGACAATTTTGAAGTGGGATCCAACTTCTGAGCTTTCGTACATGTTTTTTTTTGCTTAAATTAGTTACAATCCAAAGGTTAACAAGCATCAGAAGTACAGATTGAGTGGATACAGATTCATGATATAACAAAGAAGAAAGAAAAGGAATGTGAAAAAGCCTACCCTCGCCGGTTTGGGAGAAGCATGACTGGCGATATGTTTCGTACATCCAGTGTTGTACATCGCCAACCCAGATCGTCTTATTATCTTCGCTAGAAATTTGAATCTGGTTACTTGCTTGTTTTCGTTGACCCTACTGTTGATAGCGGTTTATCGTTATAAGCATTTAGAAGATTTTTCCCTAATTCGTCGGTATGAGAGGAAGAAGAAGAGACGTATAGTGTTAACAGATCCAAATACAAAAAGGTATCGAGTGTGGATGGAGAAAAGGTAGATGAACGATGGTAAGTACAACATACCTTTGTGTAACCAGAAGGGGAGAATCGAACCCGTCAATCAGATGTTAGGCTTGTAAGGAGAAGCAATTTTCGACCGGTGGAAACACGGAAGAGGAGAACACAAGGTGGGGTTTTTTGTAGAGAGAAGGGAGGGAGAAAATGAAGGTCTTTGTTGGCTGGCAGCTCTGATTGACGAAGAGATCTCATTCATCATGGCATGCTGGAGAGAGGAGAAGCAGAGCGGAGAAGATGGAGAAGGAGGGAGAGGGGAGAATAGATTGCTAAGATGAAAAATAGAAAAAATGTACAAAAGCGGGTTTTCAATTTGGGTATTTCGTTTTTCCCCTATTGCTAAACGCACATTTCTTTAAAATTATAAAGCGACACATATAGAGGGCGCGCATTTAACATACATCGCCCTCCGTGTTTTTAATTTTTTTTTTCTGATAACACTAATTTAAGGGCACGCAATAATGTGTAACCTAAATCCTTAAATTTTTTGAAGAGATAACACTTTTTTAATGTCACTCTCTTTTGCGAAACATAAATTAACGAGTGTCGTGGTTTGCGTGTCGTAAAAGGGTCTTTTTCTTGTAGTGTATGAGTTTCCAGTAATAAAAGTTCGTTGTTGTAATGAGAAACAAAGTTCATTGCTATAATGAGAAACAAAGTTCATTGCTATAATTAATAAACAAGTTTATTGCCATAATAAATAACAAGTTTGTATGTGTATGAGCAAACAATGAGTTCATAACCAAGCCTATGACTGATACCCTATCAAGATCTATGGTTATCGTTCCATATATTAATATGGTATCATGCACTCAAGCAATCCGGTGAGTGAGGAGTTGTCAATTCCTAATAGTGCTATCCATAATGACCATTGGATCAAAGAGTTAATGGTTGGATTAAAGTGTAAAAGAAGGGACTTAAGACGATAGGGCCTCATGTTTCGTGTTGCATAAACATACATAGAAAAATATAGCAATCAAGTTTGATACAAATCAATTTAAATACAACGAACAATAAATAGTTTTTCGGACATGATTTTTCACCCCAAAACATAAAAACCAAAAATAGGGGGAGTCATGAATAATCACAATATGAAAAATATAACAACCATGTTTATACAAGTCAAATAAATACAATGAACATAAATAGTTTAGGACATGCTTTTCCACCCCAAAACGTAAAAACAGAAAAAGGGGAGTGGTGAATACTCACAATTTGAAAAATATAGCAACCAAGTTTATACGAGTCAAATAAATACAACGAACATAAATAGTTTAGGACATGCTTTTCCACCCCAAAACGTAAAAACTGAAAAAAGGGGATAGTGAATACTCACTAAGCATTGAGATGATGCAAATGGTGCCTTGAAAGACGCTCCACTCATACCACTATCGTTTTTCTACAACGATGTTACATATTAATGAGTCTCTAATTGAAATCTAATACTAGTATATTTACTACTACAATATAATTATGCCAATAATGTGTCAAAAGTTAATATTGTTAAGTTACAAACATTTTTCTGAAATATTGAAATTTTATAACTCGTGTGATTAAGATAATTTTGGATATTATTTTTCATATTTTTGTAATATTAATTGAGGGTATTTCACTACATTTAAAGGTGTTTTAAACTACTAAAATCCAAAAATATTATCAAACATTTTCCAAAATTCATAAAATATTAGATTTTTGTTCCAAATATAGTAGATGTCTTCTAGAAAATTTTCCTTGGATTTTGGATGTGATTAACTATTTTTCCAAAGTTTTAAGCCTTCATATCAATATAAATTCGTGAAAAGTAGTATCCAGATAACATAAATTCCCAAACTTTTTTTATTACTGCCACTAAACATACTTAAGTTGCGAAAAATATAAAAATGAGTTTCCAAACAGTTTATCCTGATTTTATGATTTTTGTGCATTTATTCTAACGAAAAGGGAAATAAATAGAACATAGTTTCCAAAATTACCCAAGCTTTTTTTAACACTGTTATTATACATATAGAAGCTTTGAAAAATATAAAAGATATTTTTCAATTAGTTTTGCTATTTTTCTTTGTTTTATTCTCTTTAATAATCATTAATTGGTGAATAATTATCAAACAGATAAAAATAAATTACCAAAATTTTTGTAAACTTTATTTACGGTGTA